GCGATTACGTCATTGTTGCCAGGTTGCGGGATTTTTCGAAATTTCGAGAATTTTTTCACCAAGGAATTTTTTCGGGATACAAGTTTTTTTTTTTTTTTTTTTTTTTTTTTTCGAAGATTTTTTCAGAGGAAAATATAAAGAAATATCCAAATAATGGCTAAAATATTAAGAAAATCGCAATATACGAGGATAACTTTCGATCTGGATTGCGTCTGTATTTCTTGACCAATCAAAAAGGAACTGTTGGACAGCAGCTTCTTCCTGATTGGTCAAGAGACGCAGATTCAATCTCCAATCGCTAGTGTGACACGGCCATAAAGTCCGTTCTTTTTTTTTTTTCTTCCTACGACTATACAATAAAAGATTGAGACTCTATCGACGAGAATTATTGACATGCAAGTGTCGTGGACGCATATCCGTGTATGTACGCGTGTGTGTGTCTGTATATGTATTTTATGCATCCAGACTATGTCCTCGTTAACGCATACACATAACAGACTATCAGGCATGCGTTTCTACGACGAGACTAACAATAAATTGGACATTGTCTCTGCGAGGCTCGCAGCGTGCGAGTGCAATCAAGTGCGGGGAGCGATTTTCTCCCCTTTGGATCTTTGGTCGAGGATCGGTTAAGGGCTGGTTCAGTAAATTTCGGGGTGATCAACCGGGAGAGTATTACCGCGATCGATAGTATAATGCAACGTCCATAATGTCCGCTTTTATCAGTTAGTTGTATGCATCGGACAGAAAAATTTTTCTCTACGAGAGATAAACTATTTATAGTTTAATTATAATCTCGAACGCGTTATCCGATGTGTTCGTACTTTGCGTTGTAACAAAAATGTTAGATTATTAAAAATAGAACGGCCATCATAATTGATATGGAATGTTGTATAAAGTAGCGTATTATTTTTTTTTTTATTACAAATTAATGAACGTGCGATCGATATCTGCATAATGAAAATTTTATTAAATACATTTGCTTGCTGTTTCTCGACAGCAAATATGTCACACTGAAAAAAAATTTATGAATCTTAATATATAATATGTATATATTTTTCAATAATATTAAGCAAACATTTATTTATAGTAAATAAATACTTGTTCAATAAAGAGATGATAGTTAAGTCAAATTAATTTGGCTCTTGTATCAAATTTGTGTACATTTTTAGTAAATATTTACTTATAAATATTCAAACGAGCATTTATTAAAATTTAGCATTTTTCAGAGTGAGATTGAATTTCTATCAAAATAATTGCAATGATTCACAGATTAAAATTTAAACGTAATTTTTAAACCTTCAATTAATTCATCGAACCTTGTTAATAACGAAATAGTTCGAAATAGTTATTACTTTTCTGCTTTTTATTCGAAATAGTTATTACTTTTTTAAAATAGCTATTACTTTTCTGCTTTTTGCATTTGTGATTCTAAGGGCAATCTATTCAGCATTTTTTTGTCTAATAAACAATAACACACGTAAATGTGTGTTTTGTTTCAATTAAAGATCGTTGAGAAATGCCCATCAAAATCGCGTTGCGTCATCATCGTTCTCGTACTCATTACTTTCGCATTTTGCTCACGTTCTGAAACTGGTACACGAGTGACCCGCAGCACGCGAGTATTAACCCAAGTTATTAGTCCACCAAGCTGCACGTAAAAAGGTCACGATTGAACATTGTCCGCGCGTAATTTCAGCATTGCCGCATTGCGAAGTCGGTCAAATTCGAATCTTGGCTCATCGACAAAATCGAAGTCTCTCGTTTTCGGACAAAGAACCCTCAGAAAAATCCGTTAATAATGAAGTGTCTATAATCTATTATATAAATTGAAATTATATTTTTAATGAAATATTTTGGAGTTGATTATGACAAAAGGTGATAAAAGTTTCTTGCCTTTATATTAACTTGTAATTTTATTCGCTCAGATTTACGCGTCGAAGGAAATGAATTCTGAAAAATTCTGTGAAAATTTCTAAGAAGCGTACATGTAAAAATCGAAAGATTTGATAATGTGGAATTGTGGGGAGAAAGCTGATTTGAAAAAATAATCTTTCGCAATTATTTCATCCCCTTGAGATATTTTATTTTAGAATTCCGATTTTAATCGAATCTTTACTTCTAGAGATTCCAAGATCAATTACAAATTTAAAAGAAAATTAGTGATCAATAAATATTCATATACGAATGTCTATCAAAATCTTAACGTTTCTGCTAAAAAAAACTTTGCTCCTCCAGCAGTAAATTTTCCTGAAGAAGCTTCTGACAAGAGCCTCATTAGAATGCACAGAAGCCAAGAGTTCAACGACCCGATTTCCTGAATCGTTAACCGACCGACGGCTGTTTTGCGCTATAAAAAAGAGGGAGAAGAAAGAGGCCCGCTTTGATTTGCATCGTAAATAGCGGCAGGTAAACAGTCCCGTGGAAAAGGGCCTCAAAAATCGCGCCGGGTGGCGTACAGCGGTGTCGTGCAAAAAAAGGAGGGTAAAAAATACACGGTTTTTTCCTTTTTTTTTTTTCTTTTTTTTTTTATATACCGAGCGCGTCAAGCGTGAGGTAGGGCGAAGGTGTGTATGTGGGTCGAGGGTGAGCGGAAGGGTGGAAAGGGTGCTGAAAAAGAGAGGCAATAGGACGCATAAAAAACACCGACTACAAAATGCAAAGTCAGCGGCCGTTCTACGCTCGCGAGTGTGCGCGTGAAGTGCGGGCGCGCGCATCGCGCGATTTCTTCTCTTTTCTTTCTTCCGAGTTCGCGTGCTCGTCCATTGCTACGCACACGCGCGTGCTAAAGCTTCATATTACCAAAGTAGCGCGTTCCTTTTACCCGTGCTGAAAATGCCCGATAACCTTCCTATTGACTATTTCGACCGCCATTTCGATTTAGTCGTCTGTAGTCCGATAAGCGCTTAATATTATTCGATATTGGGTAGAGTAACTCCGGTATATACGCCGCACCTATCAAAAACTTAATTCATTAAGTATCATTTACTGTGTTTAAAGTAAACGAACTGTATCAGTGAAAAACTTTGCACCATCTATTATATAGTATTATGAAAAAAATATTAGAAATCCGAATTATTTATATTTCGTTATTAAAAAATGGACTTTTTTAAACCCTCGCCGTTTTGCCGTATATCCTATAGGGGTGGGATATATGGCTACTCATAGGGGGAGGCGACTCATGAAAAATTTGCAAACAATGTATACAAATAAGACGTAAAACGACACAATAACTTATAAATGCGTTTATATAATTTTATTAAGGAATAAGAATGATAAATATGTATATGAAGTAATAAATAATAATTACAATCTTTTTCCACACGTATTATAAAATGTTATGACAGGTACATATTTCACGTAATGCGTTTATTACATTTAGTGCACTGAATTCAATCTGCGCACTTTGTATGCTTCGGGCATAAATCCCGCCCGCTGAAAATGCCAAAAATATATCCCAAACAGATGAGATATACAAGACGACAAATTAAAACAAAGAATACAAGAGCAAAGTACTTGTATTTCAAACAACATGCTTTACTATTCTCACACTACACTCACGTATCACGAAATAACCACTAAGTTTTTTGCACGTCCTACAGTAATTATTTTATGTAGATTATAATATTTACGATATGGTGCTACACAGTGACAAATCGATTGAACTCACATAATAATCTCATTAATATCAACAGTAAGAAGCTAAAATCGTAAATCGCTATACTAATATAAAGGCGTGTAATAGAGTAATCGCGGGAAAATTACCCCCACACCAATTTTTTTCTGACTTCTGCGGCGGTAAATCCCAGTATTTGCGCCGGAGTTACCCTATAGTTGGTAGATCGAAAATGAAGGATCTATGCTCTACTTTGGTACATAGAGCTTTAGCGCGTGCATTTAGCGTGCACGGGCACTTGCACGCGCCCGCCTCGCTCGTGCTGCTCTACTTGCGCGTACGGTGCACGACGGGCGCGGAAAAGGCGCGCATTAAAGCTCTCACGGTGGTTTGCAGTTTGCAGTAGCTTGGCGACTACGTCGTGTAATGCGCGCCAATGTCTGTGTTTATGGACGACGTTGCGACGCGAAACGCGGATCGATGGAACGTGAAGGTGTATATATTGCCCCTTTTTTCCCCGCGAGATACGCGCGCGGCAAAAAGCTCAGCGTCATCTTCCCTCCTCCGAGGGATGAGTATGGCTTTTCGTATATCGACGCGAGCTAAAATAGGAGCATCCGAAGCTCCGGGAGCAGCGTTCTCCACTTCTTTGCGAGTAAACACTTCCTTCGTTGCCTTCCATCAAGCCTAAAAAAAGACGTTTCGCGCGAATAAGATCAGACATCGGCACGCAATGAAGATAACGACAATGAGCGAGAAGATATGGCGGCGCAGAGGCATATGAAAAAATGAAACTATCAAAGAGACTCATGAAATGCTCATGGAGAGAGACAGAAAGAGAGAGAGAGAGAGAGAGAGAGAGAGAGAGAAATATCAAAAGAGACAGACAACAAAAAGGATGATGGAAGGAAAGCAGAGAATAGAAATAGAATGTATTGCGAAAAATGAAGAGATCGAAAATGATGAATTGTGTGTGAACGTGTGGATGATGTATGTAATGTGTATATGTATGTATCACCACAAAGTAACGAATATAAAAAGACTTGAAATTCGTATCTTTTTACTTCACCTTTATCCGCATTCATCCACATTTCAATTAATAACATACAGAATGTTTTTTTTTTCAAAAAGTATGTAAAATGCATTCTCTTCGTATGGAGATTTTAAAAAGAGAGTCAGAGAGAGTGCTCTTTGATGCGCGGATGCACGGAAGATTTATTACGATCATGAATCCGCGAGCCAACACGGTTACTTTCGAGAGACATTCTGTACAATTATGGTGACACATTGATGTGACGGCGATCCGAATGAATGTTTCAGAGCGGTAGAAAGAGAGATAAAGGCGGTAATAGAGAGTCTAGAGAAAAAGGCGGTGGCGAATTACCTTGAAGGACTGCACAGAGAAACCGGAAACCAGGGTCGGTCCATAACATAAGAAGCGAACAGAAAACAGAAAAAGGTAAACTTGTAATTAGGTCGTTCGCTGTAAGAGACACTGTAAGCATGTCATTTCCTGCCGAGAGGGTGGGCTAGTTGTGAGAGAGCTGGAACGCGGGGGGTGGGGGTGGGGGGGGGCGAGGGTGAATAGAGTCTTATCGTGTCTTTCTGGTTGATCGATGGATCCAACGTGTGCTACCGGGTGCTGGAAGAACTTATGTTACAGGATGACACGAATGTCGCATAATGGATTAAGTCTACTCGAAAAAATACGAGTTCCAACGCTCTAATGCTCCAACATTCAACCGCATTCAACGAGCGGCCGATGTGTTAATGTTTCAATGAAATTATGCAACCTTTCGTAATCATCCTGTAAATTAGAAGGAAATGTAAGTCGTTCTATATACAAAAGTATCAGGCTTTGTAACCGAGAGAAATTTTCTCGCGGCGAAGCGCGTTGATTTCATTCCTGATGTAACGGCCAAGATGAAATTCGACAGGAAAATTTCGAGATGTGGAAGAATTCAAATTTGTCAAATTGCTCAATTAATTGAATTGCGACGTAACGTGATTATTACTGATAATCGAAGATTCGTCGGTTCGAACAGATGAATTCTATTGTTAGCACTGCGGCGAGTGATGCGCCGATGTTAACTTATTATTAAACGGACTGGTAGCCAATTAACTCGCAACGCGTTTCCCACATATACGGCGCGCAAATATTTACCACACAATTTCTCTCAGTTACACGGCCGCAAGTACCGGCGTAATTTCGGATAAACGCGCGCGACTAGGTCGTCAGACATTGTCGTTACCGTATTACTCGGTAACGATTACGTCATACGATTCAGCCGAAACACGAACACGATAAACTCGTCACTAATTAGCGATTGTCAGGGGTTAATTACGCCGGTACGATACACCGTCGCATATTTCCACAGTTTGCGCGAGAGATTCCTGCAATTCAGCTGCTGGCTCGACAAAAGACGCAAAAAGAAAAAGAGTGTGTCGAGCATAGTCTCTCTACATAATACAAAAATTTTAAGTCCTGTTATTATATCGATTAAATTGATTTTGACATCGTAAAAAAAAAAAAAAAACGGATGCAATCGCGTAATATGTGGAGTGCGAAATATGAGTATAAGGAGAGCAGTATCGATGGTAGTATATACTGTAAGGTGCGATCTCTGCAGATGTTTGAGTACCAATCGCAAGATGTATCTTCAGATGTTTTACGACTCTCATAAAATCATATCGCAAGTTGCGCAGTCTGCTGCAGTGATAATAAAATACAGACGAGGTTTATATATTGAATATGAGTAGGCAAATGACGGTGTCTTGTTTCATTGCCGAAGGAATAAGTATCGTGTACGCGATTGCTTGAACTTCAAGTAATTCCGAAAAATTCTCATCACTTCTATAAAGTCGGTATTCATAGTCGATTCTTATTTACATGAAAAGAAAAAGATTTTGTTGAAGTATTCAAAAATTTAACTAAATGCAGATCTAAAAATAAATTTTATTGGACTATCAAGATAATTATGTACGATATTTAAACTGATTACTCAAAATTTTTCACAGTATCTCATCATGTTTGAGTTTCCTACATAATTATTTTTGAACAAAATTAGTTCGACAAAATTATTTTATAAATCTATATAATATTTACTAAAATTTTACCGTAACAAAATTGTTCTTTTACCGGCCTAAATTTTATTTAACCTTTCAATAAGTAGATGGGACGTTCATCTAAAAAAAATTTTATTTTCTAATTATATTTCTTAATAATCTATCCAGAGTTAAATCGATATTGTTTGTATCCTTATCAATTAGTCGGATTGTAAAAGTGAAATTTAAGATTTTTAGGCAATATTTCTAATCTTTTTTTTTACAGAAAACAATTTTTTAAATAATTATACGTAGGATACCCATCTATCCATTAAAAGCTTTTTCCTAATTATATATTAATGCAGATGGATACGAAACGTTTAAAACGCATTCGGGAACGGGTCGACCCCGGCTGACGTCGACGGCGCGGAATTACACGTCGATTTCTAATTTCTGCCGAAGACAGAATTCGCACCGGCCGTCATATCGGTCGGCACGCGAAATTCCGCTCGAGTGAGCGGCTGTCTATTTTGGTCGCGACGAACCGATAATTAATTACGACACGAGGACCCGGAAAACGCGAAAATGTCAACTCGGTCGGCCGGCTGCGCCGCGATTGTCATAGCCGCGCGTAGACACGTTCTCGGGCTGCGCGCATCTCGCGTGTCAGATGCACCCGTACATCGCATATAATATGCACACACAGGATATGTCCTGGTTTAACTTTTCAAGGGAATTACGCGTGAAACGCGCCACGGCGACGTTGGCGTTATCCCATTTGAAATGCGAGAAGGTTCTCGGAGATGCGTTGCTACTCAGTGATTCCTCTGCACAGTGTTTAAATCCACTGGAGGCTGGTAATGCAGAAGTGAGTAAAGGTTTCCACAAATTTGAGTGTTAAAGCACTGAAGATGCACGTGTCTTGTCGGATCTCTTATTGTTCTTCGACAAAAAAATTAAGACGATCCTTTGATAAGAGAGAGATTTTTATCACTTCGTAATTCGTAATTTCTGATAGAATGTTTTTTTTGTCGAATAAAAATTTTCACGTGAAAATTCAAAATAGCTTGTCACGGGTCCACTACGGTGACGTAAAACAAAATTAATTTTACTATTTTTGTCAATGTAGTTTAATTTTAATCTCGATTTCAACTAATTCTTCTTTTTGTTTTCTAGTTATAAGAATTAGAAAACAATGAAAAATATGTTAAACTGAGATAAACTTAATCTACATTGGTAGAAACGGACATAAGTAAAATAACGCAGGTGTTCTACGAATAAATTAGTATAACTCTTTTATTGTGTAACTGATGAAGACTCAAACTAGAGCCGAAACGTTCAGATACTTTTGTTAAAATGTTCTAAAGAAAATACCCATCAAAATTTCAATTTCTGCGTTGACTTCTAGCATTTCAGTTTTTAATACTAAAATTTTTGACGCTTCCCGCAGGCATTTTCACGCGCTTCATTTTCGGTACGTTATTTTTTACGCTAATGAGCAGTCAATTAGCGGACAAATCACGAATGTCGATTTTCGCTTCTCATATCAATCGGCTACCATCGTTTGGCTTTAATTTCCTCTCTTGTTGTGAAATGACACGCGATATAGGCACGTGCGCGATACATTTGACCGATGTAATTCGATTTCGAGCGTGGTTGGGTTAAACAATAATACGTTAAAGGATCGCTTGTTGTACCAAACGCGCGGCGATTTTTACGTTATTTTTTTTTTGTCTCTCATCGGAGACGGTTACGTCGAAAAGTATGTAGAATCGATGGCCCTTGTTGACCATGTCAAAATACCATTCTGAAATTTCAGACAAATATTTTGCCATTTTTTTTCCGAAAGGGGGCGAAAAAAAACGTAAAACATTCTCCACTGCACATGAAATCAATATTTTCTTCGTTTCCGCGATGTAACATGATTTTTGTTCACTTTGTGTCAACAGATTTTTTGTTACATGTTTGCGCGTAGTAACGGGTTATCTAAAAAGTTTGCGTAACACGATAAAACCTTTACCGCGTCGATTATTCAATTTTTTTTTCGCACTACGTCGTCGACATTAGTCGGAACGGAATGACAAATTCAGGACGCAATCTCGAATGTATAAGGGAAACAGTGGCGCCGGGAAACAGACGCTTAAAAAAATACGTGGCACTTAATGCGACGGCACGTGCATTTTAATCCGCGATATGACCGAATCAAATAATAATAACCGAGCGAGAATCGTTTATGCTCACACCTGTCATCAAACCCGATCAATTTTCCATTACTTTCCCTCTCATCGATAACATTTTGCGCTCCCATTTCGACGATCGTCGCTTCATTCGCGAAAATCTCTCGTGCCGCGCGCTGAGATGTATTGCCTGGATTTTTTATTACTCTCACGCTCACACACACACACACACACACACACACACACACACTTTTATGGGCGCATTAATTCCTTTTTATCGCCATTGACGAAATATGCGATCCATTACGTAACTTGCTCATTGATGCCTGCATTTATTAGTCTTAGTTCCACGGCACGATATTTTACTCGCGGAAAAAGAATAAATGTTCGCAATTTTATTACAGATATAATTATCTTCCTTTCTCGCGAAGAGATTAGAAAAAGGTCATTCCGCGGGACTTACAAAAACCGCGCATAAAGTAACTTTGAATAATTCCGCCTGCGTTTTTACAATCTCGACAAGTGGATGCAGCAAATAAAACTAGTTCCCGTTTTATTGTATCATTATTTTAATATCTCATGTTCAATGTGTGTTGTGCCGTTTATTTGCCACCTTCGTTACCGCGCGCGAAGCACAAAACAATTCGCAATTTTCTTTTGTAGAAAATTATGTATATGTACACGTCTCTCGCACGGAGATTAGGGAAATAATCCCGCGATTCAAAAGAGCCGGAATAATTTCACGTTATCACGCGTGCGTTACTCGATCTCAGATGGAGGATATGAAATTGCACGGAGGATTATCGGGCGAGTACACGTCCGTTCAGCGAATTTTCCGCGCGATCGTGCTGAGACTGCGACTCCCGGTGAATTTATACATCCGCGGTGAGTGACCCGAAGCGGCTGCGCGAGATCCCGAGCACATTCGTGTCTTCCTGTTCTGATTCTTTATTATTCGCAGGACCGAAGAAACCGCGACTTTCTCGGCGAATCTTGCGCCCGGGAAATCCGACAGCTGCGCGACCCACTTTCGCGACAATGACAATTTGACGAGCTGGCGGGGTGTCACCCCCCGGAATGAGACACTTGACGGAACGCAATGCCCGACATAACGAATCGATAACGCCACCGGCTAGAGTGTCACGACATAGACTTGGCGATTGTGTTGCAA